GTCCACGACCACGTCCATGGCGACGATGGGCACGGGGGCGGTCACGTCCTCCAAGATGGCGGCTTGTTGCTCCGCAACCATCTCGGCGATGTCTTCGTGTGCACATCCCCCTCCAACAGAGTCCACGTTCACGGCAATCGCGCTCGCCCCTGCCTCTCGGTAGATTTCGCTGTATTCCTTGGGTTCCAAGACCGAACCCAGGAACGCAAAGGGCGCCTTCCGCCAGTACTCCGCCACGACCGTTAAAGTGTTCCCATGACGGTGACGAAGATTTTGGTACAAGGCATCACTCCGGTTGGCCAAGGACGGAGGGAAGCTGAGGTCCTCCAGCATGGTGAAGATGGGATGGGCACGGGGAAGGGCTGCTTTGAACGCAGCGATTTCTTTTTCTTTGGCTTTTCGCGCCAAAGTATCCGTCATGGCATTCCCGCTTGGGCCCAACTGTGTTTCACCCAGAGATGATGGGAGGTCGCTCGAAGATAAGGATGCCGAAGTACCCCCATCGGTCCCGGTAAATAGGCGCGGCTTGTTTCGGTAGGGGTGAGTGTGGGATGGTTGCCAGGCGCCCGTAGCGTCTGTCACAGGACACACGGGGGGGGGAAATGGAATGGAAAGGCTTCAGATATTCTGGACTTGTGCACTTATGCATGGTATCAAAGATGCGCATGCATCGAAAGAGAGAACCGGATATCCTCACGTCAAACACAATCCCAAATTCTTTACCTGCTGATAATGCTGGGGGTCCAGAGATAAAATTCACGAAAGCTGTGGTGCTGGGTCCAGCAGCGAGGCAGATAAAAATCCAACCCAACCACCGACGTCCAACTTGTTGTCTGCCTGCTTGTCTCATTTGCGGACGACAGACCATCCCTGTTGAAGCCATGATAAATAAAAAAAGAACACGTCAAGTCAATATGTTGCACTTGAGGATGCAATGCGGTACGTCGTCGATCATCGAGTGCAGATATCCCAATCGTTTCTGGCCCCTGGACTGAAAAAGAGATTGAGCAACTCAAACATTGGGGAGATGGATGAATAAACAATAGTATCGACCTAAGACACGTATGATAGTGCTATGGAGAAAGTCATGGTGAATTGTCCTGAGGATTTTTGAAGCACTGCCCGCCACAAGTGTGAGCGAGCCTTGCGCGCGGCTCTGGCATTCGTCAAATGGCGCCGTGCACACTTTTGCAAAACTCTTGTATTTTTTGTACATTGTCAAGTTATTCTGGCTCAGGCGTGCCAACAACGGTTTTTTACCTCACGCGTGCACTGACTATCGCGGCCTAGTGCCCTCCGGGGACACACACTTCGAGCCCAGATTGGAGGCATCAAAATTAACCTCCTGCATCCTTGCGACGCTATACTCACTTCGCTTCTCGACATATCTACGCTGCAATTCGACATAAACTTTTTATGAATAGGTTGCTTTTTCATGTTTAAGTATAAGGGGAAATTTAAAGTTGTACTGTAGATGTCATGACCCTGCCGACAGCTGCGCTGCAATCCCGCTTTGTTGGGTCCTCGACAAATTTGGGCGCATTGCTGGTTCCATTACCGTACTTACAGGAAGACCAAGAACATGATTCGCCCCAAGAATACCTTGCAGACACAGAAAAATGCTTAGAAGTCGCTCTTCAAACCCTCAAAAGTGAGGGCGCGGTCATATTACAGGACTGCCTCTCCCCCTCCAGTTTAGAAAAGTGTCGCGGTGTTATTGAAATTGTGGTGGATGCCCTCCTCTCTGCCGTGGCTACAAATTCTCTTATCGCCCCTATCAACAAAGTCCAGTCCCTCCCATTTGCCGCCCAATATTGCACGCGGACAGCAGGGCCTGGCATGAATGGACATTTGGACCCTGGAATTTCACGCCACGATAGCATTCCCAGCGGGTCTGATACGGTCTCTTGCAACGCCACGGGTTTCAATTCGTCGCGCGAACTTCCTCATGACCGCGAAATCAAAGCTCTATACTCGGCATTTGACGACGCCAAAGTTGTAAGCGCAGATGTGCGGCGGCATCTGGGCATCACACGCATCGCCAAAATCGGAAGGGGGAAGAAGAACGTCCACTTTGACCCGTACTACACCCCTTTGTCCACAACAAAGAACAAGGTTAAGAAGACATATGCGCCGGACACAGAAACCTTGTCATCTAAGCCCATGGATGAACATGGTATTTTGGAAAACACACAGCCTTTCAACTCCAAGTCGCCCTCCAGAGCCCTCTGTAGCCATCCAACCGCCGCGGCAGCAACCCCAGAGGCGTCTAGCCCACCCTATGTCGCTGCCCCATTTGGCAATAGCTTGCATCCGCATGCGGCGATGGAAGCTTTGGCCGAGAGTGCAGGAGTGGCTCGGCTTGTGCGGGCGTATTGTGGGGATGACGTCACACTCGCCGAGACGGGTATCTCGATCACCCGCCCGGAGGGAGAGGGACTTGAATGGCATGCAGACGGTAGGGAAGGCGAGTGTACGGTGATTATGAGCTTGGAAGATATAAGGCAAACAATGGGCAGGCTGGGGTTGATCCCACGGAGCCATTTGATGCTGGACCGGGAGGCCAGCGAGGATTTTGACCAAGATTTGATGGATCTCGTAGGGAGGGAGGGAGGGAGGGACGGTGCCGTGTGGTACGCGTACCGGAAGGGGCAACCGATTGTATTTGATGCCCGGACTGTGCACACGGCGGAGGGGAGTGTAGAAAGGGGGAGAGGACAGGAAAAAGGAAGGGTAGTGGCTCGGGAGGAATGTCGAGTGATCTTGTGGTGGATTTACAACGGACAGTGAGTGGAGGGATGCTCCGTGCTATAAAGTATCCCCCCCACAAACATAAAAAAATCAAAAAAATCTCGAGGAGGAGCGAAAGCTCATGCAATCCCTCAACCGTGGATTACTACGATGTGGTGGTCATGTTTCTTCGTCAAACTGTTCCACCGTGTGTTGCTGCAGATGACAGACATGCTCTGACCCTCTTTTAGCATGCCTGCAGGAAGACTCCACATATTTTGAACATTTGAAAAGCCATCCGCCCTGTCTTGATGGAAGGTCGTGTCGACCACAGGCTGGTCTTCCTCTTGTCCTGGCCCCCTTCACGGAGGCGGGTGCCGCCTTACCTCTCCCTCGGAGCCAGACACTCTCCGCCCCCTCCCTTGCCATGAACCCCCAGGGGCCTGCATTCTCGCTGCCCCCACCCTACGGCATCAGTGCCCCTCCGTATGGGTCACGTAGGACAAGTAGGTCGCCCACACGATCCCCAACGTGCCTGTGGACAGCCCGTGCAAATGCCGGGGGATGCAGGTGAAGCAGAGCACGTCGTATAAAGGCCATATTTTGTAGTCATTCATCATCACTCCCCAGAGATCTCTCCGCACGGCCTGTTCAGCGTCATGCCAGCTCTCCCCGTCGAGCACTCTTCGCATGGCCATGATAGCAGCGTTCCCCACACAGCCCCACGCCACGCAATTGCCGAGAATCTTCGCCGCGATCGTCTTTGGCGTCTCCGCTCCTGGAGAGAGTTTATGCAGCAA